TGGCTCAATCTCTCCACTCTTTCACAGTTTTATGCAAATGTCATTTCCCATGGAGACCTTCCCAAACTGCCCTGTGAAATTATACCCCACACACATTCTTCCTGTCCTGTTTTTCTCCTCAGCATTTCTCCTTGTCTAACGTCTGTTAGCTATTCTTGTCTCCCAGTAAGGTGTAAGCTTCCTAAGGCATGGTCTTCTCTCTGCCTCACCCATGGATGTACCTCCGTACCGGGCACACAGTAGGTGCTTAATCTCTATTTGCTGGGTGGATGACTGCATGCACCCTGGAGGCTGCAGAGTGGGAGAGCCTACATGGAGCTTAAGAACCAAAAGAGAAACCCTGCAGATTTGCATATCCTTTGACTCAGCTGGGATCTGCTCACTAGGTTAGCTTAGCTGATCCAGTGCCAGATGGAACTCTCAGCCTCACCAGTCACCTCACACAGGCAAGTGCACGTCCGTTCCTGCTCCTGGACAAATACTGTGAAGCACACAGACCACCACCACCACACTCCACTCCAATGCTCCTTTCAGTAAACATGCAGTGGGGGGGTGGGGGGGGAGGTGGGGGGGGGGGGGGGTTCTTTTCCAAGAAAGTTAAAATAATGAGGGTACCTGCTATAGAAACACCTCTTTTCTGTCTCCCCCTGACTTCCTCTCCCCAAAATGTGCCTGTCATTAGCTAGTTTGCATACTGGTGGTCACAGTCTGCATACTGCGGGGACTCTGAAGAAGCGAGTGGGACACAAGAGCAACAGGGAACGATGAGAACTCTCTACTCTGATAGAAGCAATCTCAGGAAATGGCACAAAGACTACTGGGCCTCAGAATTCTGTCCTGGAGAGCAGGTTGGGGGGAGAAATGAAAGAACACCATTATGTAAAAACACGCTCTCTCTACTTTGGCACATTGATTCGAGTCAATCCTGGGCTAGGACCAGCTTCTGAAGTGAGTGGTGACTTCATTTCTCCTGGGAAGGGAGGGTTAGCTTACCCATTACTTTTTGGAAGTCTGGGAAGTGATTTGGTCTGTTACTAGACTAATCTGAGACTTCCAATTAGACAGTGATCAGAGCAGAAATATTCCCCTTCCAATCACACAGTCCTGCCTGCTATCTCTGGTCCCCCGTTCACACTCCCTGAAGAGGCTGTTCTGTCATCCCACCAAGTCCCAGAGGAGAGGCAGACGAGGAAGCTCCGGAAAGAGGGCGTCTGGGGACGCACAGGCCGTTGCCTGCGGATCCCGGAGCCATTTCACCCTGTGGCTGGGATGAAAACGACCACCTCACAGCCCAGGGACAAGCTGGCATCTCGGAGCCCAAAGCACCCAAAACTACAGTCACCCAGCTAACCCTCTGCGTGGGATGTTCTGGGGCTCTGGCTGGGTACAGCGTGCAACTCCGATGCTGAAACTAATCGTGGCTAAGGAATGAGATGTCCGAGGGAAGAGTCCCAGCAGCTGGGCCCGTCCGCCTGCTCTCCCTGGGACACACACAGCCTGTCACCTCACATCCTCAGGGCTGCGCACAGGAGGGAGTCAGACCGTCTCCCTGGCACTCAGCCCTGTCACACGCCCTTGCTGGTGAGCGGAGCACGCCAGCCAGAAGCCCGAGGGATGAGGAGTCTCGGGCCTCCCTGTGCCCTGGGGCCTCAGAGCATCAGCTCCCCCCAGGCTGGCTCCGAGCCGCTCCAGGACCCTCTGTTCAGCAGCAGGAAAATCGGTTTCCACTTTGGAATCCCGTCAACGAGAACAAATCCAACAGAACGACCCGGAGCATCTCCGCGAGGGCGATCGCTAATCCCTTCCTCCTCAGGCGGGCGATGCCCGGGAATCGTAACGCCCATGTTTTACCTTCTTTCCAGCAGACAGCAGCTCCAATAGCTAACAGAAAAGGGAGACCTCCCCGCCCTGAGGTCTCCAACGAAAATGCTTCCTGCCAAAAAGAAATCTACGCTAATTCGGGAAGAACTTCTGAAGAGAGACTTTCCAACGCATTTCGGAAATATAAAATCTAAGCACTGGTTCTCTGAAGGGAGAAATGAAGAGAACGCACTTCCCCTTCCTTCACCTGGTCCAGAAGTCACTCAAGGAACTGCATGTGGATCCAAAACTAAAGCAAAACAATAACAACAAACAAACAAACAAGCAAAACCGTGAACAGATACATTCCATAATGAGGTCGTTTCCAGCCCAGCTTGTGCTGGCTGGGTCCAGCTTGCAGAGCAAGTGTTCCTGGTGTCAAACTTGCTGAGGAGACGTTCACAAACCCCAAAGGGACACTGTCATCCCAGAAACGCGCAAGCATCGGGCTTTACAGGTGACTCCAAGTCTGCAGTCCACAGGGCTTCAGACTGGACCATGTAACTGTTTACTAGTGAACTCGGAAGCGTTCACACAACTAACCCTCTAAGCTTTCTAGTATTCTAACATTCGTTTTCAGGGTGTATTAGCTGGCTGCAACAGCTTAGAATGTCTTCAGGGGGCCCCACTTGGGCAATACTTGCTTAAAGCAAGCTTAAGAATTACTGCATGCCTATGGCAAGGGACTGCTTAGGGACCCTGCAACTTCTCCAAAAGACTGCTATCAAAGAACTAGGAAGTGCAAGGCCAAGATACCAAAAGGAACTAACCCAGGCATTTGCTGAAATCTTCTGACAGCTTCTCCTTTCCACTGACAGACCTCCTGAGGCCCAGACTTTAACAGAACCTAATCTATGTGCTATCAACAGTGACATCAAACTCTGCCTCCTAAAGTCAGTTCTCCATGCTGGGCAGTCAGGCTATGACTATGAACGACCTCAACCTGGGCCTCCTCAGCAAAGGGAATGTGTCTTTAACAGCCTAGCTCAGGGGGTTCATGTATGTCAGAGAGCTCCCCCCGCCCCCTGCTGCTTTTCAATGAAGAGGTTAAGTCTCTGTACAACCAAGTGGAAAAACCAGAATTAGAAATCTTACCACCCTAGCTGATTGGCTCAGGGGACAGAGCCTTGGCCTGCGGACTGAAAGGCCCCAGTTTCGATTCCGGCCAAGGGCACATGCCTGGGTTGCGGGCTTTATCCCCTGAAGGGGATGTGCAGGAGGCAGCCAATCAATGATTCTCTCTCTCTCTCTCCCTTCCTCTCTAATTTATTTATATATATATATATATATATATATATATATATATATATATATATATATATTTTAATTTATTTTTTATTTGTTTTGTTTTTTGTTTTTGTTTTTTTTGTTAATCTTACCAATTGTCCCAGTGAGAATCCATTTCCAACAGGAATTAATGCCTATTATAGAAGCCACTGGAACACTGACATCATCAGCCCTACTGATAGGCTGTATGACAGATGAACCCCTTCGCCAGAGACAGGAATTTAAAATGTCAAAGCAGTTACATTAATTACTGCAGACAACAGGTTTCTTTGGGTTGTTACTCAGAATCACTCCTCTGGTGTGGACTCCACCATCATTCCTTCCCGTCTCCCTGTGAGTTGGCTAACAACCCTAAACTTCCTAGCCCTAAAAATCTTACCCCCAGTGCCAACTCCACAGTTAGCCCTCCGTGTGATATTGAACGCCGTGTGGGGTACAGCATTGCAGGTTTTAGACAGTGCATGCCCGTGTCCCTTAAAAGTCATCACCCCGGGGTGGGGTCATGAATGGGAGGTGGGGGGTCATGGGGAATAAGGACACATATGTAATACCTTCATCAATAAATTTTTTTTTTTTTAAAGAAAGATTTTTAAAAAGCCATCACCCCTCTATCTGCAATGAAATCGGTATGAGGAACCAATTTACTGCTTGAAGTAGATCTACTGGCTCTTCCTTCCCCTTTTCTAGGAAAACAACTAATAATTGAGCCAGGGAGAAGAAACATCAGAAGAATAAACAAAGTTCCAGAAAATGTGCACTGAGAAAAGCCAGACCGAGTCCCTCTGGATCAAGTTAATTAAGAAACTATTCAACACAGGACAGTATGTTGGAATCAAAACCAAGGAGTGCAGTGAAAACGGGTTTCTCAATTGCCCAGAGAAAACACAGTTCCTTTTCAACTAAAGTTATAATGCCCCCAGGAATAAATAAATATAAATATATAAATAAATATGTAAATATATATATATATATGCCAAGAAGCACGGGTGAGAGGCTGCAATTCACAGGGGTGGGGAGGTGCGGTGGAAGGAAAAAAAAAATACCCATTGTGTTTTATTTCTTTGGTTCATTCCTTAGGTTTGTGCCTGGCCCTTGGGATTCAGCAGGGTCAGGCTAGCTCCGTCACCAGGTTCTTAAACGTCTCCCAGTGTTTGGAGATATTTAGCTGGAGGCTCAAGGGTCCCAATGAAGGAACGCGGTAAAGGGTTTGCCTGCTCGCAGCCTAAGGTCAGAGGTCACGTGCCTCGGGAGCGCCCTCCGCCCTGACACCCTCTCTCCGTGGGGCTGCACCGGCCGCCACGCCGGCTTCTGTGCCCGGCGGCGCCCATGTGCTCGGCGCCATCCGAGTGCCAGGCATCCCCCTGCCCCCCTCTGCACTCGGCGGGCCCGGCACCGCCGGTGGGCACCTGGGCTCCGAGGGCGGAGGGCCTTCCCGGCACAGGGCGCCCGCGGAGAGGGGTGGGCCGCCTCCGCGGAGCAGGCCCAGCAATCCCCCCCGGGCCGGGCCGGGCAGCGCGGCGGGCTTTGGGGGAGACCCGGCGGAGGGGGGACCGGTCGGCCCCAGGTGCCCGCTCGTCCTGCCAGCCCCCGGAAGCGCTGCCCTCCCGCCCTGCGGGCTCCGAGGAGGCGGGGAGTCGAACGCCCCCTTCCGGGTGCCTCCGCCCGGCTGGCCAGCCCCGCTCCTCCTCCGGGCGGGAATCCTTCCTCCCCCGCCCCTCCCGGAGCCGGGCCCCGGCGCCAGGCCCGGCCCCAGGGGGCACCCCCCGGCCCCGGCTCCCCCTCCCTGCGGCCTCTGCCCGTCTTCCCGACCCATGGGGGCTAGGAAGACCCCGCCGGCAGCGGCCGAGACCCACCGCTCATTACGACATCTTCCTCCCTGGCCTCCGCCGCCTCCGCCGCCACCGACAGCCTGACACCGCCCGCCCAGCACCCGCCAATCCCGGAGCCCGCCACCGCCCGAGCGACGGCAGCGTTCACCAATAGAGTGCTGGGTATTGGGGACCGACAGCACTCCTAACCAATCAAAGACGGGCATCTAGAGCGACGTTGGTTTGGCCAATAGACATGCGAGATGTAACTGATGGACGGTAGAAGGCACCAACCGGAAGCCTACTGAAAAGTGAGCGACGTGTTCGCCAGCCAACCGGAGGGAAGCAAAGTTCCTCCCACGGGGTGGTTGATGGACAGCAACAGGAAGCTAGGATGGGCGGGGCTTGTCTTGGGGACTGATTTCCTATTGGTCGTGGTTGACCTTCCACCCACCTCTAACCCAAAGGATGAGTGATAGATCTGCCCTAAAGCCAATCACAAGTCCGCAGGGTGAGGCCCCCCCCACCCACCGAAAAGCCCTGTAAAGAGCGTGCAAATTACACCTCACTCCGGTGTCGCCGTGGTGTGTAGCATGGAGCTGCTACTCTCCGGCCACTCCATCCCGTTCCTGGTGAGTGGGAAGTGGGAAGCCACCAGCCTTTGATTTAGTCCCTCGCCCACCATCGCCTCCGGAGAAGGAAACGCGCTCCCGGGCAACTTTGTAAAACGAGGCACCGGATACCGAGCGGGAGTTGGGGCTGCGTGACTTCTGCGGGGGATGGGATTGTTTTCATCGTCTCAGTTCCAGTCCCTGTAACCCGCCCCTCCCGGGTTATTGCAGCGACCCCCTCCCTGACGGCCCCCAGGTGTGGGCATCAGCAGCACCTGCAGCTCCGGGGCTGGATTCCGGGGTCTCCTCTCCAATCCTCTGTAGCCCTGGTCTCCCCTGAAATATGCCCTCGCAGCAGCGCCTCCGGTGGACAGAGGTGGTATCTGCCCCGCCCCCCTTAGAGGTGCTGTGAGTCAAGCCCCTGGCAGGTGCCATCCGGGGAGGTTTGTCTCCCCCAGGTCTTTCCTGTGGACCGGTAAGTCGGGGAGGCTGCCTCGAATTAGTGAGAAGGAATCCACTCCGCCTTCCTACCAGCTTTGGGTGGGAACGGGCACACCCCCTTGCAGAGGGGCAGGGTGCCAAGACTCGGAGCCCTGCCCTCTCCTGTAGAGTGAGGCTAAGCACACCCACATTTAGAGGGCGACTTTCCTTTAATAAACAACAAACCAACCACACCCCACAGGGAGAAGTACGTTTGCATCCTGGGCCAATACACTTATACTCCTAGGAGAGGGGGAGAATAAAGTTTCCAAAACTGTAATAAAGTTTCCAAAATCAATACTTTTCCCCGATATTTTTATTTTTTAAAAATTATTTTATTATTGATTTTTTTTTACAGAGAGGAAGAGAGAGGGATAGAGAGTTAGAAACATCCATGAGAGAGAATCATCGATCAGCTGTCTCTTGCACACCCCCTACTGGGGATGCGCCCGCAACCCAGGTACATGCCCTCGACCGGAATCAAACCTGGGACCCTTCAGTCCGCAGGCCGACGCTCTATCCACTGAGCCAAACTGGCTTCAGCTCCCCTGATGTTTTTAATCCTGCCCTATTTATTTCCTTTTCTCTCTGCCCTTTTCTTTCTTGGATTTTTTTTTTGGGTGGTGGAGGGGGGAACCACTCATAAAGGGTTGATACAATAAGAATGATATAAAATGCTGAGAATGCACAGGAATTGCTGAGTAAACGTTAATTGCCTTCCAGTGTCCTCCGCTCAGCCCGCCTTTGAAAAACGAGACTTGAGAAAGAGATCACTCCTCCAAGACCCTCTTTTGGCTCGGTACGCCTTTCTGGGTAAAAAGCCCAGACTTCACTTTTTAGGCAAACGAGGTCCTTCACACTCTTTCCTTGGGTTGGTCATGCTTTCTCTCCCTCCTCCAGCCCCTTCCTACGAATCCTCTCCTTTTCCCGAAGGAAATATTGTATTTCCCCGTTCCTAAACACTTAATGCTTCTCTACTGTGTCCCTTCCTTTCTAACCTGTCTTTATTTTTGGAAACTCCTACGCATCCTTTGAGACTGTGTTCACTGGGGAGAAGGGAGGGCAGGTGAAGGCATATGCTAAGGGGGAGGGGAGGCTGGGGGGAGGGCAAAGGGGGGAAAAGGGAGACATATGTACTACGACTTGTAATGCTTCAAACAATAAAAATAAAAAACGACTGTGTTCAAAGTCTGGCCTAGCGGATTTGGCTCAGTGGATAGAGTGTTAACCTGCAGATGAAGGGTCCCAGGTTGGATTCCAGTCAAGGGCACGTGACTGGATTGTGGACTTAATCCCCAGTAGGGAGCATGCTGGAGGCAGCTGGTCAATGATTCTCATCATTGATGTTTCTATCTTTCCCTCTCCCTTCCTCTCTGAAATCAATTTTAAAATATCTATATATATAAAAGCCTAAGCTACTGTTATGTCAGGACAGTAGCTATGATGACCCTGACCACCAAGGGGCAGAATATCAATGCAGGAGCTACTCCTTGGTGGTCAGTGTGTTCCCACAACCAGCCAACCTCCCATGGTCCCTCCCCCACATGCTGTCCAGCCAACCCCAATCGGCCCCCATTGCCAGTACAAGAATTCATGCACTAAGCCTCTAGTATATACACTGACTGGCCAGATTATTATGACCTCTGAGCGCATAATAATCTGGCCACTCTGTGTATATCCTATATAATAAAAGGCTAATATGCAAATTTCCCCTCGACCAGGAGTTCGACCAGCAGGCAGGCCAGCCGACCACCCATATCCCCTCCCTTGGCCAGGCTGGCTGGAACCCTCCCATGCACAAATTCATGCACTGAGCCTCTAATATATATATATTGTGTGTGTGTATATATATATATATATATATATGCACATACACACTGAGTGGCCAGATTATTATGCATTCAGAGGTCATAACAATCTGGCCACTCAATGTATAGAAAAAAAAAGAAAGAATCTGAACACAAATCTCCCACCCAGCCTTAATTTTCCTCCTCTGAACAGTTCTGGGCACACGTGTGAGTAGATTGCACACTTGTTTTCACTTCTGACCCCCTGCTAGACCCTGAACTGCCGCAGGACTGAGGCAGCACTGGGAGGACTAGCAGGAAGCGTTCACTGAGTGAAAGCATGAGCATTTGCATACAATCACCTCTGCCCAGGACTTGTTTATGTAGACCACACATTCTGTTCCCAGGCCATTTTTCAAGTTCAGATTGCTTCACTGTCACGCTGAGGGCTCCGCCCGGGTTCAGTGACTCAGGGATATTTTTGGGGGAAAGGTGGGGCTGGCTATCTTGCTGGACTGCTGCCAGGCCTATGGTGGAATGAAACCTGGGGCGGCTGTGCTTCTTTCCCTCCTCCCCCCCCCCCCCTGCCCAGCCCTTCATGAAAACAGCAGGAGTGGGGGGAAAGTGTGCACGTGTGTGTGTGTGTGTGTGTGTGTGTGCACGTGCGTGGGAAGACCGGGTGCAAACACTTAAAAGCTCTCTGCTGGGTCTGAGGTGCAGTCAGGGCGCTGAGAAGCCGGCTGCCTGGCCCCCTCCGTCTGCGGAGGACGGGTCACCTTGAAAGAGGCCATCTCTGGGGACAGAAGTCGTGAGAATTGCAAGTGATGCTCTGAGACTTCAGTGGTCTCCCTAGCCCCGTGGTCGGCAAACGCATCGGTCAGCAGAGCCAAACACCAACAGTACGACGACTGACATTTCTTTCTTTTCTTTTTTTTCTTTTTTTAATATATTTTATTGATTTTTCACAGAGAGGAAGGGAGAGGGAGAGAGCTAGAAACATCTATGAGAGAGATACATCGACCAGCTGCCTCCTGCAAACCCTACCACCGGGGATGTGCCCACAACCAGTGTGCATGCCCTTGAGCAGAATCAAGCCTGGGACCTTTCAGACTGCTCTGTCCGCTGAGCCAAACCGGTTTCAGCTGACATTTCTTCTGAGAGCCAAGTTTTTTAAACTTAAATTTCTTCTAACGCCACTTCTTCAAAATAAACTCACCCAGGCCGTGGTATTTTGTGGAAGAGCCACACTCGAAGGGGCCAAAGAGCCGCATGTGGCTCACGAGCCGCAGTTTGCCGACCATGGCCCTAGCCGGTTTGGTTCAGTGGATAGAGCGTAGGTCTGCGGACTGAAGGATCCCATGTTTGATTCTGGTTGGGGCACCTGCCAGGGTTGCTGGCTTGGTACCCAGTGGAGGGCCTGCAGGAGGCAGCCAATCAGTGATTTTCTCTCATCATTGATGTTTCTATCTCTCCCTCTCCCTTCCTCTCTGAAGTCAATAAAAATGTATTTTTTAAATATGTTTTTATTGATTTTTTTACAGAGAGGAAGGGAGAGGGATAGAGAGTTAGAAACACCGATCAGCTGCCTCCTGCACACCCCCTACTGGAGATGTGCCCACAACCAAGGCACATGCCCTTGACTGGAATCGAACCTGGGACCTGTCAGTCCGCAGGCCGACGCTCTATCCACTGAGCCAAACCAGTTAGGGCAATAAAAATATATTTTCAAAAGAAAAAGAAGAAAGAGAGAGAGACTTCAATGGTCCTGACTGAAGTACCATTAGGAGGGGGCCCTCTCCTGGGCGGTGCCTCTAATGTGAGAGGGGCCAGATCGGCTAGAAATGAAGGGGAAAAAAAAGAAAAAAAGAAAATGGCACCTTTCAAAAGGGAAGGACCATTCAAGTAACTCAAGATTCTGCCAAATTCTTCTTAACACACTCTCAAGCCTGAGTCCCATCCCAGGCCCAGGACATGGCGTCTCTGAGGCTGGGACCGGTGACAGCAGGAAGAGGCTCCTCGGGGCAGCCAGAGGTGGAGAACCACTCCTTCGCCCCAAAGCATCTTCCCACCGGGGCGCTCAGTACACAGTTCACCAGAACAGCCTGTACTTTCCGCCCCCACCCACTCCTGCCCCTCCCCTGGCAGACTGCCCCCTCCCCCACCTGCCTCCGTCCCCGGAGCCGGTGCTGGCGGTGGCTCCCGCTGTCTCTCGGGCGGGGAGACAGCTCTTCCCGTGTGTGTGTGTCTGGGGCAGGTTCTCTCTCGGCGATACTTG